ATTGACCGGTCGACCGTACCGGTCGACCGAAAACTGACATCCCAGAAAAACAAAGCTGATTTTAAAACACTGTTTAAAAATATCAAATAAATTCCAAAAAATGTAAAACTTTGGGGAATGATTGTAGACATGATAATAAACATGCTACAATGACTGGTTATCAAAAAGGACTTCCCAAATGAAAAATATCATCATTTTACAAACTAGTCCAAAACATGAAAATATGAGATACTTGAATTTTGATGTTTTGACATAAACCAACTTTTGAAACTTTGTGAAATGTTTTTGTAGACTTAGTAAAACATGTATAAACTGATATTGAAGTCTATAAACTAAGAATACAATATTTTCACAAAATTGCATATTCTATGCAATGTTTTCAAAAACATAATAGAAAATATGAAATATAGAATTTCATATATATAACCATAAAAACTCAAAACATATGTATGTATATATATAACTATATATATGCATAGAAATATATATATATATATATATATATGACTATATATATATATACGAAGAAACCAATAAATGTGTGTGTATAGATAATTTGAGCTTAGAGTATATAACACACATAATATAAATCCTAAACTAAATTACCCAAGCTAGATCTTGATCTTCAATAAGCTCTTCTAGGTAATCTCGCGGATGAAGCTTTAACTTGGATCTTGAACATTGAATAGCAAGGCTTCACCGACATTCCGCCAACCTCCTTTGGATATGATCGTTGAAGCTCGATTCCATCCATCCTCCAACATATTGTTTGCCTAGAATAAATATAAAACACAAACACTAGACAAACAATATTAGATGTAAATTGTTTGTAAATCATCATCAAAACAAGAAGGCCAACACTTAGTAGTTATAGGCCCAAATTACCCAAGGCTCATAACTGATACATATTTCTTAAGTGGGCTTCTCCCTTTAAGAAGAAATAATTTCATTTCTTCTCAACTGCATCTGAAACCCATTTTGCCTGTAGCTTTCTTTTACCCAACGAAAGTTCAAGCTCGCCCAAAATCAAAGCTCAGCCGAAGCCCTCACCTGAATCGAGGGTTGAGCTCGCCTTCAAAATCAAGACACAACCTCGAAGCTCGCCTGAGAACGAGCACGAGGCTCGTCCGAACTTCCTAAATGAGCTGACGAAGTTCAAGCTCGCCTGAGATCCGAATGTCGAGCTCGCATGTAACGAGCGTCGACTATGTCTGAGTCGAGCTGAAGCTCGTTTGAGTCGAACCCGAGGTTCGCCTGATTCCAAGCATAATGTTCGACTGAAATTCGAACCGAAGTTCAACTAAAGCTTTGAACACGAGGTTCGACTAAAGTTTCGAACACGATGTTCGACTAAAGTTTCGAACACGAGGTTCGACTTAAGTTTCAAACACGAGGTTCGACTGAAGTTCGAATACGAGGTTCGTCAGAAGCAAACCGAAGTTCTCCAAAAGCTTTCAACAGAGCTGAATCGAACACGAGGTTCGTTAGAAGCAAACTGAAGTTCGTTGAATCGAACCGAAGTTCGCCTGAAGTTCTCAACAGAGTTGAATCGAACATGATGTTCATCAGAAGCAAACCGAAGTTCGCTGAAGCGAACCGAAGTTCGCTGAAGCGAACCGAAGTTCGCCTGAAGTTCGAACTTCGTTCAAACCCGAAGTTCGCCTGAGGTCAGGTAAGTCCTCAAGCCCTAATTTCTTTCACCCATTAGGATTTGTTCTTGAACCGCTACCGCCGCTGCTTGTGCTCCTGTACCTAGGGTTTCAAAAATCCTAGGATTCCTGATTACCGCCGCCACTGTCATCATTTGATAGGAGGCCCGCTAGCGAACATCGCCGACAAAGAGTTTTGGAGAACGACGACAAACCAAAAAGCCATTTTTTGTCGATTTTTTGAACTCAATCCAGATCCGAAACTTGATATGCTGTACACTTTTGATCTGAATCTGAATCCATTTCAGATCCAAACATCCGAAAAAGGAATCAAACCAAAAAAAAATGAACTTTACAGTTCATGAGAGCAACAAATCCAAAAAGCGAAAGAAAAACCAAACAAAAAATGAACTTTTACTGTTCATCCGTGATCAGTTCTGAAAAATCCACAGATTAAGATCAAAAAATCCAATTTTAAATCTTAAACCCCTAAGAAATAATCACGGTAACTTTGATACCACTTGTTGGAGTTAATCGTGATTAAATCATAGAGATTAAAACAAAAGAGCGGAAACTATACCTAAATCCATTGCACAAATCTGAAATTTGGGTTTTGGATCTTCTAATCTTGAGGGTTCTCTCTTGAGATTTATCTTTAGACGGGGATAAAAGAATGAGAACTCAACGCTAAGATTAGGGACCATAACCACTTTATATAGACTTGTAGTTTTCTAATTTAGCCCCTCATTAAATTAGAATTACAATCTGGTATCTGCACAATTAGCCCATGACATATATAAATATCAATTGACCCAATTACATGATTGATCACTTTATGTGGATCAACTGTAAAGATAGCAACACACACTGACATAACATATGTGCACGCAAATAGATTTAATTAGATTTAAATCCAACACCTGACACATGGCAATCCTATCTCAATCATTTAATATATTGTGTACATTTAAAAAAAACCCATATGCATAAAACTGCTCTTAGCATACAAACAAACACCAAAAGAAACTCTTCTTTTTTGGTTGAGGTGGAGACTACGACTATATATCTTTATCCTAAAATTTTTTGCATCTTCCTCTTCCACCCGCTAAAAAAATGTACTAAATAGAAGCTGAAGAGAAAAACTATTCCCCTTTCTTCATCTCCCCTTCAACAAAAGAAACACACAACACATCATAAACTAAAACATCAACAAACGATAATCTCCATACATCATACTTATCCCATATTAGGCATTAATATTACCAAACAAAAGTGAGCATCAAGATCCATTCGCTCCCACTTCGTCGAAGGGGATCCCCTTGCAAAGTGCTCCGCTTGTCCACAATTGTAGCACCAAAACAACTGCCGCCGCCTCCTCCGTCGTGATCGCAGACCCTCGCCATGTGCCCATCATTGCAAGCAGTAGCGGGAGAGAGTTCGTCGACGTTTGAACCACAGAAGCCGCGAGGCAGAGACTGATGACGACGAAGCGGCCTTAGAACCAAATGCCGGTTGGTTGATCAGGTTCTGACGATGCTGATATTCGCCATGGCCGAAGTCGCTGAGGGCGGTGCCGGAGTTTCTGAACGACGTCATTGTGTATGATGAGTGGGCAGCGGCGAAGGCATTGCGGGCGTCGATCTCATCTCTCATGAGCTATTTTCCGCTCTTTGGGGATCTGTTTGTATGTTATATGTACAAGAGGATATTTGTAAAACCAACACAAGATGTCAAGATATTGAATAATTGAGATAGATAGTGTCACATGTCAGATTGTTATTGAGGTGTTTTCATCATCTTTAATATTCATTGAAATGCCTTTTTGGACCTGAAAATTATTTTTTAAAATTTGAAACTTTATTCCATGCGCAAAATTTTAAATTGAACAATATAAGATTTGCTAATTTTATCTTTAATAAACTTATGATGCACATTAAATTTGCACTAAATATCAAACTAGTAGTATGGATACACGTAGCATATTGTAGGTATATTACTTAGCTAATTAATAGACCTATTTTAGTAGACTTATTTTAATATCATCTGCCTATTGTAATTTATATTTGTATTGATGGTATTTTGCAATGAGATTCATTTGACTATTTTGTATCTTTCTTGCATACGGAAAGACAATGGTAAATCTATCTGTCTACCTACAAACGTATACTAAAACAGATGCCACTAGTTGTAGGTTTGACTTGTGATTATAAATCTAATTAAAACATGTTAATTGCATATTGATTGTCATTTCACCTTCTCTTTATTATTTTTGCAAAACCTGCCATCTCTCGCTCAATTGTTCTTAAAATCATTAATAAACCAATCAGCTTCTCGGCTTTTTGTGCAACATACATAGAACAAATTGGAATTATTGTGCAATGTACATAACTTGTGACTGCAATTTAGGAAAAAAACTACATCTTTATATTATACAATGTAGGGCTAGTTTGCTGAATTAGAAAAATATATGCATGAAAGAGTTAAGAAGGAGCGAAAAAGAGAGATGGAAAGGAAAGTGACAATGCCAATGAGACATTTGTTGATTTTTTTTAATAGAATTGATATGGAGAGATAATTTTTTTTGATAATAGAGAGATAATAAATCATAGACATAGAAAAACTAAGAGTAAAATATAATAATATGAAAGATGTATTATTATCGGAAAAAAATTAAAGATTAAATAAATATCAATAGTTACATTCTTACGACCAAAACGGCAGAATGTTTTATGAATATAATAGTAAATTGACATTATTTTAAATGGTGAGGGATTAAAAAAAATATATTTGGGTGAACTTGGTTCATCGCATTACTGACATCTTATAAAGATAATAACCATTAAATCAGTGGAAATTGTCTAAATATGTTAGTGATCTTGATTCATTGCATTAGTGACATCTTATAAAGATAATAACCATTGGATCGGTGCAAAATGTCTAAATATGCTAGAGAACTTGATTCATTGCATTAGCGACATCCTATAAAGATAATAACTATTGAACCAGTACAAGATATACGCTAATGAAACATATAATATTCATTAATAAATTGGATCAGATCCACCGGATACTTTCAAAGCTCACATGTGACTCTGGGCCATGTGACAGAGTCATTTGATTCCAGCTGTACCTCCAGCTGCAAGCAAGCTCTATGGACCATGCAGAACACGCTACAAATATTATTGAGTCTAGTCATGGTGACAAATCCTTCTTCTTACTTCCTTTTATAAAAGGAGTGCAAAACCTGGTGCCCTTGGCAACCACCCGTTAACTATGCACCGTGTTTCATGTTCACCCTGGTCCACAAGATCCGAGCCCAATTTCCCGTAGAAAGAATCCCTCCTCTTCTGAGAGCGAAAAAAGAGCAAACAAAAAAAAAAAAACAGTCCACCTTCTTCTTCCCATAATTCTCTCTCTCAAAACCCTCAAAATTTTAATCAGAGGGGAGAGAGACGAATATGGGAAATTAATCTCGACCGTCATTAGAGAATCAAAAGAATTCGTGATGTCCATCGAAGGGAGAGAGGCGACAGAGAGGAGAAAGTGCCCTAGAGTTTGAAGAAAAGAGGGAAATTTAAGAAATTTTAGGTTAGAAAAGGTCTCATCTTTGGTTCCCCCATTTTATTTCATTTACACGCTCGTATAATTTTAGGGTACTTATTCTTTTTATCTCAATGCTTGCAGTTTTAAGGCTCTCTTGAACCGGCGAGATTCTGTGCAGAAAATCATGGCGAGTTTGTTTTCGTTATTTTCTTGTTTTATGTTTTTCGTGAGGAAAATGGGGCCTCAAAGATGAAATCACGAACACAATCAAAGTTTTTTTTAATTAGAATTTTACATTTTAGCATAAACCGCACACCCCAAAAAAGACAAGATGAATCCAAAATAATAGATTCTCACATGAGCAAAGTCATGGGATTAGGTAACTTTATCAATCGGCAAAATAAATTCTCTCATTTTCTCCAGCTCAACCCACCTTAGGTATTTCAGGGACACTGCAGCAAAAGCAATCTCATTGTATCAGGATGAGTCAAGCTCTGTTTGCACAAAATTGTAGATTACATATCCAATGAGAAGCAAAATAATCAATTTTAAGCCATACCTCAACAGCATGTTTTAACTTTACCCAGTTAACATTTTCGTGAATACATCCCCGGGTAAAACAAACAATAAAGGTGATAAAGGATCACCTTATCCATTTCCCTTGCTTACACTATCAAGTTCCTCATAAAGAAAAAGTTTCTAAATTTTATTTTATTAATTATTGTTAAATTTATGTAGGACTGGGTTAGTGACAGCGACGATGATTACAATTGGGATACTCATGAGGCAGATCTAGTTCCGGCTTCCAACAGGAGTGCTGGCCCATCAAATAAAGTAATATATTCTCTCTCTCGACTAAGGAACGAAAACCTTTTCTTGAACATAAATTTGTCTTTAATAAGATTGTAATATTGGTCTTTATTCGACATCTTTTTTTTCATGTTAAAGTCAGAATTAGCTTTTATATTCTTTTAATGTTACTTTGAATAAGTTTTATAGTGTGTCATGTGATATAAAATGCAGTAGTCGTCTACTGAATATCTCATTATAGTTCATTATTAATTTTGTTATTCTTCACTTTAAGTTTAAAGAAAGGCAATGTGCTTCTGTTGTAATTCAAAATATGTGGTGCATCAGCATGTTGGTGAATGTTGAAAGAAGGTGGTGTGTATTTGTACTGTTTGGTTATTTGTGATAAATGACAATAACGAAAAAGAGCCTCTATTCTAGAATATTTGGGTAATGCCCATGTAATCTTTCTTCCTTTATTCACTATGGTCACTCCTTTTCTAAGTGTGCAAGCATTGAGCTTCTCTTTTTTCTTCCTAAATCTGTGTTTGATAAGGAAGACATCTTTTCTTTTCCTTTTTGTTTGTTTAGGCCAGTACCAGCAATAGTGAGGAAAAGCATGACTCTGGTGATAAGAATTGGGATAGTGATGAAGGAGAAGTTCCTGCTCATGATGTGCTTTCCGGTCCACCAAAGGAGGTAATTGATCATTTTTCTTGTATTAGGGGCTGTTTGGGTCATTTCTAAAAAAATATAGGAAATGGAATCCCCATCTAGAAATCAATTCCATTGTTTTTTATTGGTATCTTGGAATTGCTAAGTTTTTGTTTGATTCAACATGATAATAAGAAAGCAAATCTTAGAATTTGTAATCTCTTTGGTTCAAATCCCAAAAAATAGGAAATCAAATCTAGAAAAAGAGAGAGAGAAAGAGAGAGAGAAAGAGAGAGAAGGGAATGTTGAAGTGACATTAATGTGTAAGCTTTCCACGCAAATCCTCTCCAAAAGTTGGGATTTAGCAAATCCTAAAAATTGGTTGTTTTTTGCATTTTGAAGAAACCTTTTCTTGAAACTTTTCTTGAAACAAACAAAGTGTGTGGAATCCTCTTATGCCAAAAGTACCTCTTTTTGTTCCTAGAATTGCTTTTCCATCCCAAATCCTAGAATTTTTAGTGAACTAAACAGGGCCTTAATGACTTTGAAATTTTTGACCAGTCAACTTCTGAATCAAATAATGGTATGAATATTTGATGGATTTAGTATACTTTAAAGATCGGTTATCTTAGACATAATATACTTTAAAGTTTGGAGACATAATATCCAAACTGTTAAAGTGAATGTAAGCTATTTCTGTTAGATACATGCATATCCTTTTTTTAATAGTTCGGAACATATGATGCATCTTTTGTTGGTACTTTAAGAAGGTGGTGATCATTTTTAAAGTTCTCAGTAAAATGAGACATTTCTCTATTTGTGCTATTTTCTACGTGATTCGCTTTTCTGCTTTCTACTCTATCAAGGGCCACCTCCTTAAGTTGATACATTAAACCTTACTTTTTGGAGAACTTCCTCAATCCAAGATCATCTAGTCCACCCTTCTCGTGGTCGTTCCTTTTATCACTCATAACTTCCAATGCACGTTCAAGCATGCTAAGTGATCTTCATCATGTTCTTTCTATTATTAATTTATTTCCAAGGCCTTGTAGGCGCATTGTGTCTTGTCATTACACAAACATCAAAAAAAAGCTGGCTAGATACTGACCATAAACAGGAAAATATTCCTATTATGTATAGATGTTTCATGAAGCCATTAAGTTCACAAAGGCTACCCAATCTTGAACCAAGGACTTGCCATAACCAAACTTAGTTTTGCGGTTGAGAGAAACTAAGAAAGTTTGGTTTTATTTGCTTAAAGAGAACAAATAAACTTATAGTATTAGCAAATCCAAAATAATCCCATAAAAGCAACTTTCAGCTTCTTATAAGTGCTCTTTCTTATCCTATCTGTTGTTGCATTACCTGTCTCCATCCCAAAATTCTCATTTTTGATAGGTTTTTGGGTGCCTTACACTATCTGCATTTGTTTTGCTGTACTTATATTCTTGTTTCCACTTTCCATTTTATGGACTTTTTGCTTCTTATTGATCAGTATTCAGATTCATGAAGCATGGGCAGTCATATAGCTGCCTGGGATTAACTGGGAATGCTAGTTATTTTGTTGACATAGTCTTCATTTTCATATTCACTTCTTTTGGGGGAGAAAAAAGAGGAAGAAAGAAAATGCTGTGGATTTCATTCTAATTTTTTATTGATTGTTTTGGTTCTTATGCAATGTGAGTTTCTTTATGATCTTTTTTAATTGATTGCCTTTGGGTTTTCTCAAGGCTTCTGAGGCAGGTCCATCTGGTAATAATTGGGTAGCTCACTTCGTAGCAATGGGGTTTCCTGAGGAGTTGGTGGTGAAAGCAATCAAGCAAAATAGTTAGTGCTATTTTCTCTGTGGTAAAAGACACACTTATATGTGGGCTAACTAAAATTGTTTTGTGGATTGCAGGAGAAGGAGATACAGATGGCGTACTCGAGACATTACTTACGTATGGTGTAAGTGGCCTTTATTGTTGCATATCTAGGAGGTTTCTTTCATATAGATTGCTAGCCTCTAGATTTATCACAATGTCTTTTGCGTAAAAGCCTGGAAAAATATTTATTTTGTAACAATATTGTCTGCTTCATTTAGTCAATGCATATCTTGATGGAGTTTGGGGGTGGCCCAGTGCACAAGGCTTCCACCATTGTGGGCTCTAGGGAGATTTCTAGGAGATTTCTTTCATATAGATTGCTAGCCTCTAGATTTATCACAATGTCTTTTGCGTAAAAGCCTGGAAAAATATTTATTTTGTAACAATATTGTCTGCTTCATTTAGACAATGAATATCTTGGTGGAGTTTGGGGGTAGCCTTACCCCCTCTTTGCGGAGAGGCTGTTTCCGAGATTCGTACCCATGACCTCTAGGTCACAATGCAGCAATCTTACCGTTGTGCCAATCCTCGCCCGCTATATCTGGGTTAACTTTGATTAGATTATATCAATAGCAAAAAAAAGTTCATTTACACCAAAACTTTTGGTGTTCACTACATAAATCCCAAATTGCAAACACATAAACTTATTTGCTTGAGATGACTAATGCATGTTTACTATAGTTTTCTAATTGTATCTTAGAGCTAGACAGCTATTGATGTCTGTCCTATATGGGACTTCTGATTGTACTGTTTTATGCTCTTATACACAAGATGTGTAATTGTGTCTTAGTCACTAGTGAATGATCGAGCAATGTTGAAATATATTTATCCTTCTTTTTCTAATATCCTTGTTTCTTTGACCAATCAGTCTTGACTCTCATAGGTCTGTCTTTTAGCTTGCAACTAGCGGTCAATTTTCACAAAATAGATATACATGAAAGCGTCATATTATCATGTCATTTTATGCTTATAGCACTTCCATTGCAGTATTTTTTTTCAGCACCTGAAATGCAGTCTTTTCTTACATCTGGTTTGTGAGACTTGAGTTGGTACTTATTTTAGTTGTTCTTTGCAGGCTATTGAGAAATCTCCTAAAAGAGAAGAATCCCCAGAACACTGTTCTTCGGCAAGTGATGAAGGCATTTTGGAGGATGAATTCTCTGATATGGAAGACTTCGAATTTGAGGTAGTTCATAAAGCTGGCCTCTCCTATAAAGCTTATATTTGTTGTAAGAAGTGCTGACAGACTGTTATCTCTATAAAGTAAACACTGCTGTATTTGATGAAAATCATATCTCATAACTAGTTATTTATACATTGAACAGTTTCAGCATTTTATATATACTCAAAACAATTACAATGACATATTAAGTTACACTTTGATGTTTCCCATACTTCTTTCTTTTTGAATGTATTAGATTCCCCTTTATAGAGAAGTCATATTGCATTATGACAGATATAATGGTGACTTCTTGTTGGTCTTTATAGTGTTTGGTAGTCTAGAACAAATTGTAATAACTGGGTTGCAGTCTTATGCATTCCTTTTAATTTAGTGTTCTCTGTTGCTCAAGCAGTTGCAGAGTCATGAATGGAGTATGCTAATGGATCCCCATTTAGTTGAGTAGGTGGCAACTGTCTCACTTTGACGTGTTTAAATCTAATTATATGTGTGTTTGCAAATATTCCATATTCGGTCTTTTCTCACAATTATGTTTTGTTAAAGCCGGTGTTTCTTTTACATTAGTACATGACTTGTACTGGAGGTGGACACCCATCTTTCTAGTCTCTAGTAAGGAGACTGGCTGGTACAAAATTCACCTTAACCGGGCATGGAGGTCCCATGGCTCCTTCTCGTACGGACTTAATATTTTTGAGTTCCATTATACTTATTGGGTGCACCATAGCATCAGAGGTCTAATGGAACTTTAACGTAAGTGGAGCATAACTGTGTAATTTTTCTAAAATTTCTCTACAGGATCTCACTGATGATATATCTGAAAAGGACAAAGTAGTATCGACTTTGGTGGATATGGGCTTCCTTGCGGAGCAGGCATCTGCAGCCATTGATAGATGTGGTATGTTAGCAAGGCTGCAACAGTTATTAACTTTGAGTAAAACAAGCTTTGAGAAAATTTTATCAAACTTCTATCTGAGGCAAACTTTTAATTGATCTATCCATTTTGGTATATCTCACACATTTTAGGTTCAACTTTGTCGTATCCAACCGATTCACGTTATTGTTAATGTGTCATCTGATCTTTGTTTGGAAAATGATTAAATAGATCTTGAGATGTGACCATCTGCATATATGAATCGTGATAGTGATGCAACAACTTGGTTCATGCTAAATTGCTAATAGGTTTAGAAACTAGATCAAGCATGTGAAACTGGGTCAAATGGGCTTTCATCCTTGACGATTCTTGGTGTGTGTTAAATCTTGAAGCAGTGCTATCAAATTGGTGTAAATATGATATTAGGGGTTTGCTTTTATCTCTGAGCCATGAGATTAGCCAAAGAGCCTCATGAAACATATTCCCATATTAATATGACTTCTGTATGGAGTCTATGAATGCATACCGTAGTGTTCATTCAGCTTTCCTTCTGTACTTTCCTTCCTTTCAGATATGAAACTGTATTATATAGTCTGGGTTCATTGGATGAGATAATAACCTGAAGCAGACCCAGGGAGTGTAAATTTAGGAACAAAGTTATTTTCTGTAAATTCCCTTAAATTTGTCTTACACTTCTATTTCAGTATTTACATTTTGATTTTTATCCTTCTGTTTCTGTAAATTTATTTTTTTAAAATATAATTACATACAGGCCCAAATGCTTCCATTTTAGAGCTTGCGGACTCCATTCATGCTGCACAGATGCAAGAAGGGCCTGGTGACGGTTGGGATTGTCCTGCATTTAGTTCTGATGATGAGGTAAAGCTTAATATCTTTGGGTCTTGTTGGCTTAGTGTTATGCAAACTTTTCCTTTGTATCCTTGTTGAAAGAACATGAAAACCAAAAGTTCCAAAAGAAAAGTTTGGTTGAATATTTTTATCAGACAGCTCAGATTTTTTCCCCATGCCATGCTGTTTAAGAATGAGAGGAAAAAGTACATGTTTTTTTTCTCTGTGACTGCCTATAGTTGACGATAAAGTAGATCTTAGGAAAGAGATAAACGAAGAACTATGGTTCATTTGTGTCGTTTCGACTAGCTTATTGTAAGTTTTTTCTGGTAAGAAGATAAGTATGTTACTATGTTTCATTACCAAAAAATTCCTGAATGTACAGACTCATCATCAAAAACTCATCAACCTCAGCCCTTCTGATTCTCTCTAAACAGGAAGAGAAAAAACAAAAACACTCCCTATACATCCAAAAAAAAAGAAAAAAAAGAAAAAAAAAACTCAGTACCAATACCACCCAACTCTAAATACTCTTAAAAACTGAAAATAAACAAACTGTTACCTCCTAAGCACTCGAAACAAATTCTGGGTAAATCTTCATAGCCTTACACCATTTTATGTTACTTTGAGTATTAGTCATTTTAGTGATTCCCCCCATCTGAAGCTTCAAGAATTGAATTATTTGGTGAATCAGTACCTCCTTTAGCTCTTTCTTCCTAAAAGTCAGCTCATTCCTTGCCTGCCAGATAAAGTACACACATGATGCCAAAGCCTCTCTCTTAATGCTAGCCATACACCCTTCATCTCCCCATCTTTTCAAGCGCCAACGAATTAATTCATTCCATCTCCAAGGAGAATTTGATTCTTGAACAAAAACTAGTGTAGAACTCCAGATACTCTTATTACATTGAACAAATTCGAAAAAACAAATGTTCAATACTCTCATCACAACGCGCACACAAAGCACACTGAGGATCAACTCTAAACCCTCTTCTAACAACTCGTGAGAAGTTTCTCATGCATAATTAACCCTAGTATAAAATAAATTTACTCCACACTAGCTTCCTCCATGGGACTTTAGGGGATTCTGGGACAAGAACATCATAAACATAGGATGAACTTAAAGGAGGGGACTTACCAATCCACCTGACATCACCAGCTTCCATATTCACGATTTGAGTTGCTACTTCTCTTAATTTCAAAATTTTCCTCAATCCCCAAGATTGAGTGATTTTAATAGGCGTATTCCACAAATTGTCATCTTTTATGTACACTCCATGAATCCACCTTACCCACAAGCTATCAGTTTTTAAGGCAAGGGCCAAAAGATGGTTTGAGCATAAGAGCAGTATTACTATGCATTACATGATGAACTCCCAAGTCCTCCTTGAGTATAATGTTTACAAACAGAGCTCCAGGACAGAAGAGGCACTTTCTTCGCATTTTCTTCACCACCTCACAGAAAATTCCTTCACATACTCTCAACTTCTTTTATAACCTTTTTAGGAAGCACAAAAACTAGCCCCCAGAAAGTGTGCATGCTTGCCAAAACTGATTTAATAAGTACATTCCTGCCAGCATAATATAAAAACTTGTTACTCCAGCTTTTGGTCCTATTTGTGATCATCTCCCATAACGGTAAACAATGAGCATAAGAGGGTGACTTGGAAGTTAATGGCACACCAAGTATCTAATAGGAAGCTCTCCTTCAGAAAAGTGAAGATACTCCAAAATATCCCGTCTTATTACATAAAAAACCACTAAACAAAATACCTGGCATCTTATTTAAATGACCGAAAAATGAACCCTGACTGCCTTGTCTGCATGTCTTCTTAAATAGACCTACCTTTTCCAACCTCTTTTTTTTTGGTGTATAGAGAAAGGTTTCAAACCTCAGGTTGTACTGCTACATATGGAGATTCCATCAGACCGTTGCACATGGTTTCCTAGAGGCCTGAATAATAGCAAACTGATGAAACAGCAACCAAATTCTATATCTTTTAGTTTGTAAAATCAAGATCTTCTGTAGATTACTATGTAAGGAACCTTATATAAATGCGTGCCGTTCTTGAACTCACTTGTTGTTCATTCATAAAGCTGACAGTTAAGTAGTTGTTCTGTATTATCTTTTAGTTTGTACCCTTACAAGTTTGAACTGATATTTTCTTTTCGTTCAGCATGGACCAGGGCATCAGCTTTTGCAATTTTTAAATCTTATTTAAAAGTTTCTAATCTGTATTTTCACCCCTTGCAGAATTGCACATATAAAGGAAAGAAGAGAAGTTTCCAATTAGAGAAAAAGAAGAAGAGATCCCTTATGTATGAACGTAAAAGGGTATCCATGAAAAGGGTGAGGCCGAACTTTGACGATGATGGAACTTCTCTAATCATACCAAATCCGATGATCGGGTTCAGCCTTCCTTTTAAACCCCCACGCATCACTCACCGGAATCTTCCAGAGGCGGCCATCGGTCCACCATTTTTCTACTACGAAAACGTTGCTTTGGCTCCAAAGGGAGTTTGGGAGACTATTTCCCGATTCCTTTATGACATCGAGCCAGAGTTTGTGGATTCCAAGTTCTTTTGCGCTGCTGCGAGGAAAAGAGGATACATCCACAATCTTCCGATAAAAAACCGATTCCCTCTCCTACCGATCCCTCCAAAGACTATCCACGAAGTCTTTCCTACAACCAAGAAGTGGTGGCCATCTTGGGACCCTAGGACTCATCTTAACTGCCTCCAAACCTGCATAGCTAGTGCAAAGCTCACTGAGAGAATCCGCTCCGCTTTAACTGAATCTGACGGGGGCCCATCAGAGAGAATAAAAAAATGGATTCTTTACGAATGCCGCAAATGGAATTTGCTGTGGATTGGGCTCAATAAGGTCGCTCCACTAGAACCTGACGAGGTCGAGATGCTGTTAGGGTTTCCACGGAATCACACGAGAGGCATTTCTAGAACTGAGAGATATAAGTCTTTAGGGAACTCGTTCCAGATTGACACCGTAGCTTACCACCTTTCGGTGTTGAAAGACATGTTTCCTAATGGAATTACGGTTTTATCCTTGTTCTCAGGGATTGGGGGAGGTGAGGTGGCTCTTCATCGTCTAGGCATTCGTATAAAGGCTCTGGTTTCAGTTGAGTTGTCTGATAGCAGCAAAAATGTTGTGAAGAGCTGGTGGGAGCAAACTAATCAGATGGGCACTTTGATCCATATCTCTGACGTCCAAAAGCTTGATGGCAATCGACTGGAGCAGTTTATCAGAACTTATGGCGGGTTTGATTTGGTGATTGGAGGCAGCCCCTGCAATAACTTAGCGGGCAGCAATCGGCATCACCGAGATGGGCTGGAGGGAGAACACTCAGCCCTGTTTTATGATTATTTTAGAATTTTAGACCATGTGAAGTGTTTAATGGGGAAGAATTAGGAAAGGAAGAAGATCTAATTATAGTGTTTCGAACTGACTCAGGTTTTTTTCTGGCAAAATTGTTTAAAATTTTGTTTTCCCCCTTTCTTTTTTCTTTTTTTGGGGGGGGGAGGAAGATTTGCCGGGGTGGAAAAAGAAAGCATATTGTATCTAAGACCTTCTAACTTGGGTACCATATGATCTTACTTGAGCTAATTGCACCTATCCTTGTTTAGCTGCTGTTTCTTCCACTGCTATGAGTTCATTGAGTTGTTTCTGCTGTATTTCAAGTTATGACGACTGTATGACTCCTGGCAATTTACATCGATTCTTGCAAGTGATGAACAGCTTATGTGTACCTTATGTCAGAACTGCTGCTGTTACGAGTAGCTTTTGTTTGTTTGAAGAAGTTTCTTGTTGCAGTAAGCATAAACTGCAGTTGAACAGGTTTCTAATTATATAGCTTTTTCGATTCATAAATTAGAGTTGGAATTTAAGAGTTGATATACTTAATGAGCGGTACAATATACTTTTACAGTCTTGGACTGCCGTGTATCATCTTATTCATTTTGCGTCGAAATAACTAATCTGATGGGATTTATTTTCTTGACAAGGTGCAATTCAGGCTTTTGATTAGTTGAGAATGTATGTTTCGCTAATGAATTTGTATGGTGAGTATGAAGCTGCAGTGGACGGGGATGTTGCTTGCAAGCAGGTCGCAGTGCTCTTTTAATTCGTGAGGTGCACATTTTAGCATGTTGATTAGCTGAGAATTGTTTGTTTATTTTGCTGGTGAATTTGTATGATAAGTGTGGAAATTTCAGTGGTGAGGAATATTTCTTGCAAGCGGAGTGGATTGATCTTTTTCTTGACAATGTGCATTTCGGCCTGTAGATTAATTGATAATGTTTGTATAATTTACTAAGGGATTGATATGGGAAGTATGAAGCCTCAGTGGGGAGGGATGTTTCTTGCATGCAGTGCGAAGTGCTATTGTGCTCCCAGGAAGTATATAGGAAACTTTGAAGTTAGCATGCTCGCATACAGATCCAAATATGATTCTGGTCTTTGGATACGTTAATCCTAAAGACTGGGGACATGAGTATGTTTTGAATATATGTTAACAATAAATCTTAATTTGGGAGTTCACGGTCTCTAGCATAAAGTTATGACGAGGAAATGATTATAGAACGCAATATCTTGGGAAGTATGAATTTGATAATAGAGTTGACGTTATTCTTGGAGAAAATATCTAGTGGAACTGATTCATTGTACCAATGAAATATGGGAAAAATGAGAACCAATAGATCAAAGCACTTATCCATAAAATTTTTACTAATCCAGTATTTAGTATATTTTGATGCACTATTTGAATATTGAATTAGAACTACTGAATACTTTCTCGAATTTCTCACATGTAATCTTGATCCATGTCACAATTTGTCCATTGACCACCAGCTTTAAGCAAATTCTATGGACCATGCATAACACATATACAAAAATTATGGATTCATATTCGAAGATTTTACACGAATACAAATACGAACACCTCATTATTCACTTCATTTCCAGCCTTACTTGGCACCATTTGTGCGCTTGGTGAGGGTATAAATTAGGGGTTAATAAAAATCCATATCTGTGGAGAAATTCATACAAGTTAGGCTATGAAAATGGTCACTAAATTTCATATATGATAGGATATAGTTACAGATATAGATATGTTGTGAAATATCCGGACCCGTAACTACAATATCCGAATATATGTGGATCATACAGTTGCTATCGTGTTTATCCTTAAATTAATAAATTTGAGGTTAATTTTGATGATTAGGTCTACATATTAATGGTTTCTCTTGAATTATACGAACTGTTATTTTTCCTAGTATCATAAGTTTTTCTTCTATGCAATTTGTATTGCCATGTGTATCTGCATTTATATCTATATTTGTATCCGATTTTAGCAAATATTGTGTGTTTTCATTCCCGAGGCATATCCATGTTCGTACCCGTATCTGCGATTGGCAAGCAGATATGGATATCATAAGTATCATATCCTAGTCACATCTGAACCGTTTGCACCTGTAGCAGTAATATGCAATTTGTTTTCATCCTTTCATAACATATATAGTGGGTCACTTATGTATTTTGATGATATGTAGTCTTAATTTAAATTTTAAAAAATACTATTTTTTTTTTTTTTTGGTGAAGAAAAAATACTATTTTTTTTAATTAGTGATAATTCGTGATATTTTAAATTATGCTAATCTTACAAAATAGTAACCAGTCAGACTATAACAAGATTGTTAATAATTGTGTATTATTACAATAACCAATGATGTCTGTTAAGTCTCTAGATTATATGGTCTATATTCCGGAACAATATTTTTTCTGTCAGCAAAGAAACTCGAGTTTTTTATAGGAAAAACTGGAGTATTTTTAAAAAAAAGGAATTCTCTGATATCTCTAGACTATAATTTTTGAATGATCAAACAAGTTAGAGAAAGTCAGCAATCTAACTTCCGATTAGCATGCACAGATGATAAACTAGAATACCTTTGAATTTTGACTTATCAAATAACTTTTGCAACATTTTTTTTGGAGTTGGTAATTTCCCCATATTTTTCCTATTTTCTGCGCGGGACCCTTCTTTTTACACGCAACCTCATCCATCAAACCCCATGCACCCGATGTCCCCTCAGCTACCCCAGAAAACATCTTGGGGGCGTGGGTGGAGTGTTCATAATATTAAGGGTGTGTTTGGATTTCAACGGGTTAAGAGAAGTTAAGGGAAACTAGGTGAGAGAAGAGAATGAAAGAGAAGGGAAGGGAGTTCCCTTCCCCTTGGTTACACTCCAAGTTGAGGGGTAACAAATTTTATACTATTAGGAGGTGAACTAAGGGGAACTAAGATGAATAACTTCACCTTCTAAATATTCTTAAACGAAGGTGAATGATTCCCCTAACTTCTCTTGTCCCTTGTTCCCCTCAATCCAAACAAGCCCTAAATGATACACGAATCCTGTGAAATCTAATGATATAAAGTTAATATTTATTTAATGCACAACTAATGCCATGAATCCTGATGCACTTGAGCCACAGGCTGATGCACTTGAACCACCCCTGTGGCTTCCTGTTCCGTGTTCCAACTGAATCCGATCCCAATATCCCGCCTTTCCAAAGAAAAAATAAATTGAAAAAACAAAAAGCAGTGCACCTTCTAAATTTACAATCAGAGGGGAGAGAGGAAATTAGAAAATTAAGACGAGTAGAAAATCCATCTCGTCCGCCATTAGAGAATCAACAGAACTCGTGATCTACATCGACGAGAGGAGCGACGGAGAGTAGAAAGTGCCCTAGAATTCGAAGAAACGAGGAAAAAGAGAATTCTTTTTAGGTTAAAGGTCTCATCTTCGGTTTCCCCCGATTTTTTCTTTTTCATTTTTACCCTCGTAAAATTTTCAGCTACACTTGCTCCGTGTTCAAAATTTTGCAGGCCTGAAGCATTTTCTTGAGCTGGCGAGATTCTCATACGAAGAATATGGTGATTTTTCTTTTCTTTTCTTTTTCTTTCTAATTTTTGCATTTTCATCGCTTACTTATATTCTTGTGTTAATGATAAAAAAAAATCTTAATTTTAATATTTATCAATTATTATTTTTCTGTAGGACTGGATTAGCGACAGTGATGGTAACGATGATTATGACTGGGGTACCCATGAGGCAGATCTAGTACCGGCTTCCGACGGGAGTGCTGGTCCATCGAAAAAAGTAATGTATTATTCCTCTTGATTGAGGAGCAAAAAATTTCAACTTATTGACACGTCTTAGACAAAATTGTAATATTGGTCTTAAATCATGATTAGCCATGAGCACCTTTTCTTGTTAAAGTCAGAATTAACTTGTATATTCTTCTAAATGCTAGTTAGAATAAGCTTTCCAGTGTGATATAAGACGCAGTATTCTGAAGCTGGATATCTCATATTCTAATTCATCCTTAGTTTTGTTTTTCTTCAATATAAATATAAGTTTACTGTTGAGAGAGTGGATAGCTTTCTCATCGAAGAGTCAGCAGTGTTCACCTATCTCATACTACAGTGTTCACCTACCCTAAATAGTGTTCACCTACCCCATGAGAAAACTTATAAATACCCTCCTGAGTTTGATTTGTAAGGCATTTCAATAGCATAGAGAGAAAGAGAAAGATAAAGATACAAGTAGTATCATTGAGAGATCTTGAGAGAGAGTTTGTGAGAACTATGGAGAGTATCTTGATCAAGAGAGGGTGTTCTCTTTTATCTTTTTATTTTGTAACATCGAAAGGAATATAAAGGAATTAGGCGTCGTCGTTGCATCGTGGAGTAGCTCCGTAAGAGTGAATCGTGTTATATCTATGAGTATTGTGATTGAATTCGTGTTTGCTGGTTTTATTCTGTGATTCCAAGATCGTTTGGGTGTGTTTTAAGTCTCCGTTTGAGACGTTCTTGTTGGCGTGTACCCTAACATTTACTATATAAAATTATAACCTCAACCCTCAGCACAACTTTATAGTTTTGGTGTGTGTTGAGAACTTTAAGATGACATAAAAGCAACTTGAGTTCAAATCTAGGCCCTCAATTTAGAGGCCATGTTATTAACTTATTATATAAAATAATAATCTCAACCCTCACCACAACGTCAGAGTTTTGGTGCAGACGTTGCATGTAGGTGAGTGTAGTAAGAAGGTCCTATTTAATAATTTTGGGTTTTCCGTGAATATTTTTTCCTCCATTCGCCGTGGTCACTTCCTTTTCTAAGTTTGGAAGCACTGTAGCTTATTTTTTTCCTCCTTAACAAACCTGTGTTTGATGGAGGAAAAACGTCTTTGCTTTCCCCTTTTTTTTTTGTTAGGCGAAGCCTAGTGGTGGTGAAGAGAACCACGACTCTGGCGATGATTCTGGTTGGGATACTGATGAAGGAGCAGTTCGTGCTCACGGTGCGGTTTCTGCTCCATCTCCACTGGAGGAGGTAATTGATTCTATACGAACATAATCCTTTTTCTAACAGTTCATGACTATGGTGCATCTTTTGTAGGAACTATACGAAGGTGGGTCTTGAATTTTAAAATCTGAATAAATGAAGCATCATTTGTCTTGAACTTTAAAATCTTGAATTTTACAAACTTCTACAGGTACCGTAAGAATTTCACAATTTATAGTTCCCATCAAACCCCTTCTAAACCCTCTGTTTTCTCTCTTTTTCTTCCACTGTAAGCACTCATTTACACCAATAGAAAAAAATTTCTAGAGTTCTCAATCCAGAAAACATAAACCCATCCAGGCATCTTTTTGTCAATTTCATAAGAGACGTACGCGTATTGTAGTATATAGTTAATTTTCATGTGTGTATAACAAATCTGAAATTAAAACACAGATTCTTTTCTAAAAAGCCCTCTTTATGCAATTTTCCATTTATATTTTCTTGCAGTGCAACATACACTCCATTGAATTCATCTTCAAGTTCTCAATCCATTGAATTCATCTTCTACTCTTTTCACTTTTCAACAATGCCGCACAACTGATTTCTTCACAAATTAATTCGTTATACTGATGAACAACAAAAATAAAACTTTCGTAAATGTCTGAAACTAAAAATTTCTTCCATATTCGAAATCCCTTGGGTACAATGAATTTCTTCCATAACATTGTGAGAAAATGGCTGAAACTAAATTTTTTTTCCATATAGAAACATTGTGAGAAAATATCAACCCAATATTCCCAAGGAACAATGAATTTCTTCCATATAAAACATTGTGAGAAAATGGCTGAAACTAATAATTTCTTCCATATAGAAACATTGTGAGAAAATATCAACCCAATATTCCAATCCCCTGGGGGACAATGAATTATGGCTGGAGAAACCTAGGTTTCAAACTCAGCACATAACACTCCAAAGTACATTTCAACAGTAAGAAATATGACGCTCAGTAAAAAAAAAAAAGAAATCAAAACTGAAGCAGAAGCAAAAAAAGCTGATTTACTATCATCTTCTCCCAAATATCCCAAAAATTCAGATGCAGTTCTCATCCATAAGACCCAAAGCGGTCCTCTTCTCTTCCCCCTGTGGTAAAAAGTAAAGACAAAATCAGAATAATATTCCCCAGAAAATAGAATATTGACAGTAAATAAAAAATATATATAATATAAAAAAATAACAATACCTTGTTGTTTATGCTGACCAGAGTCTCCTTGTAAGCGGCCTTGAGCTTGCGCAGACTCATGCTTTGATAGCTCTGCTTGCCCCCCTTAACGGGCCCCACCACTAAAACGGTCAAATCTCTGTTCTCTTTGTTGCAATCGTCCTTGTAAATTCCAGCCAGAGGCAGCTCTTTTCCCGCGCTTTTCTCTGCTGCACGATTCAGATCTCCGACGGCTTCCACTGAGATATCGCCTGTGAAATTGCCGGATCCGTCGATCTCCACTGGGATCTCGACGGTGAGATCAGCGATTTCAGCCGTGGTCTCGATGGTTAGACCGTCGTCTGAGATTTCGGCGTTGAGATCCGATTTCGCGAGATCTTGGGTTCCGTCGGAGTTCAGTAGGATCTCAAAGGTGAGATCATCGGCTTCAGTAGGAACTTTGATGGATTCGATGGTTCCCTCTAAGATTTCTGGTTGGATTCCGTCGGATTTCAGTGGGAACTGAATAGTGAGATCATAGGCTTCAGCACTGGTCTCGGCAGTGAGATCATCGTCTTTGCTGGATTCGATGGCTGCCTCTGAGTTTTCGGCGGCGAGATCGGATTTCGCGATATCTTGGATTCCATCGGAGTTCGCTAGGACCGCTACGGTGAGATCATCGATTTCATCAGCATCACCAGATTCCATAGCTTCGGCCGTGAGATCGCCATCGTCTTTGATGGATCCAATCGAAAGCTTTGCGATTTCGTCGGTGAGATCAGATGCGACGAGATCTTGAGTTTCATCGGGGGAATCTTCAATTGATGCTGGATTCTCGTCGGAGATTGGAAGTTCTTGAAGCTTGAAGTCTTGATCATCGGAAGCTTCTTGGTTCTCCTCTGATGATTTCTCAAGATCTTCGATCACTTCTGTGTTGATCTCAGCAACGGGACTTTGCTGAACAGAAGAATCTTGATCTAAGGATATCAGACCTCTGACTGGCGAGTCATCAAATCCAGGTAAAGCTTCTTCTTGATTATTTTCTTGGTTTTCTTCTTCTTTTGGATTGTTCCCTGAAGCTTCTGGCAGGGATTTAGAGGTTTTTTCTGATTGATCAGCAGAAATTGGTGCTTCTTTAATCACCTCAACCTCCAAATCCTGTTCTCTTTCACAAACTTTGTCATTGGTTTCTGCAAAGATCAATCTTGCCATCATTAGAACTCTGAATAAGGAAGGGAAATTTTAAAAAAAACCTAAAAAGAATTTACCCTTATCATATTTTTGGTTATCCTCTTCGGTACGGAGATCAGTCTTCTGATCAACAGCATCTTCACTTTCTTCCATTACTAAAAATCATTGCAAGATCGAATGGGAACGAGCACATAACAATTAATAACCAAGAAAGGAAAACTAAAGTGAAAAAAGTTCTCACCCTTTTCTTTGTTTTGTTCTTCTTCTACATCCTTAGCCAAAGATGCCATCTTTACGGAATCCCCCTTGCCTCCAACTCTCGTGCTCCGCCTCAATCCTCCACTCATCAAATCATCCACTTCTTTCCTCGAAGACTGCCTCGTCGTTCTCCTCGTCGCCGGAGTTTTTGCGACCACCTTGATCTCTTGTTTCTTGACCGCCCTGCTCCTCGTAGTCGGTGCTTTCGGAGACTCAGCATCCTCGACCATGTCCAAGATTTCGGAAGCTTTAACGGTGACCCTCCGAGACCGAGGCAGAGGGCTCCCTTGCTGCTCTACCTTTCGAGATGCAGTTGTTCTCCGCCCGGTCCTCGGTGGGGCCGGGGACTCGAGGTCTAGTTTCTTGGGGGATTGGAACTGTAGGGATTCTTGAATCTCGGCAACCCCTTCCACCTGATAAAATTAAAATTAAAATTAAAAAAAAATTGAATTTTGATCTAATAAAGAACTATGGATAGAAGAGAGGGGAGCTCGGGGTTTGGGATGATTGATTACGGTTTGGAGAGCTTGGAGAGCGTCAGCCATGGCGACATTGGTCATGTTGGCGGGGATGCGGTTCTTCTTGCAGAGGGACTGGAGATCTCTCCTTGCGAGGGTGTGGAAATCCATGGCGAGTTTCTTCCTTTTGTCTTTGAGAAAAAGACTTGATTTTTTTTTTGCGAGAGCGAGGAGCTGGGAATGGGAAAAAGAGAGAGAGAGAGAGCAGAGAACGGTTATGGGTGAAGGGGACGAGAGATGGATTGTGTATATAAGGGAGAAGAAGGTCGGTTTGAGAATATGACCGTTGGAGCGCTCGTGCTGTGGGGTTTTTGAAAATATGACCGTTGGGTTTAAGGGAGAGGAATTTGATCGGATTTGGGCGGCTAGGGTTTGAATGGACACTGAGCTGGATTTGTGGCATCAAGTGTTTTAATCGGGACCGTTGGATTATGAGCAAATGCATGCATCAATATCTCTTTGCTTTCTCGGAGTCAGACTCGTATATTCAATAGACTGGGGACTGTAATTGGACCTGGTTAGTTTCTTGTAATCAGGCTCCTAATTTCCTATATTTTGGGGGTGAGAACGAGACGGGTCAGGTTGCGGCACATTTAAATGGAGCAGCTTGTATCTATAATTAATCTCCCTGCACTAGGTAGTGAGATTTTTCTGTATTTCATTCTTCTTCTTTTTTGGGTAATTTTTATGAAATCTCTTCAGATTTAAAAATTAATATGAAACACTTTTAACTGTTATTATAGATTACAAAACACACTGCAATTAAAAAACTTGTTATAAAATCTACTTATATTTCAAAACAAACCTCTTCTTCGCGCTTAATATAATTTTCCTTTCATGCAAAGAAGACATGATAATTGAGAAAGCATAACTGTATATTGATCTTAAAATATAATACAAATATATATATAATAAATAGGTCTGAGTGGGCCAATATTGGGCGGTCTGAGTGGGCCAATATTGGGCCTGTATACCCAAACCATAGTGTAGCAACTATAAATCACACCAAACAGAGGCTAAAATCAAAGAGTTGAAGGGATTATATTGATCTTCTATAAATTGTATCTATGTTAATGATCGTGGTTACTTGGGTTTAAGGAGAAGATTGAGGAGATAGATTTTCCAATAGTTTGTGAAAGAAGAGAAGCTTTATTGAGGGGTATTCTGGAGAAAATAGTAGAAATTAAATGGATTTTAATAGTTGTTGTAATAACAGTGGGCAGTGACATAGCCAGGATTTTTTTTGCCCTGGGCGAATAATAAATATGGTCTACGGATATGTCGTGAACCAAACTCCTCTACTGTTTCTTCTGTGTTGAGGCTGAGAGTAATTTCTTTTTCAATGTAAAGTATCATGTTATTAGCAAGCAATTCATCTTCCATCTTGTTGCGCAATGATGTTTTTATGAGTTTCATTGCCAAAAATGCTCTTTCCGCGCTTGCAGTCGAAACAGGAAGAGTCAACACGCCGCCTAATCAAGTTCTTTTATAATGTACAGTGTTGGTTCTGAAATACTAATTAATTTCTTTTCATTTTGCTTAAGCAACTCAGCTCAGTTGCTCATAAGAGGTTAATAACTGTCGTCATAAGTGTTTACCTTTGAATGACCCCTCCATACAAGATGCAATTCTTGCCCTGGGCAACTGCCCAGGGCAAGTCCTTACTAGCTACGCCTCTGACAGTGGGTGTTGTAATGAAAATAATAATAATAATAACATGAAGGGGTTTTATAATAAACTGTCAAACTGAAGGGTTTTAAATAATTACCTTTTTCACATTGGTTAATCAAAGGGGGAGGAGCATCAATGTTTTTGTTACGCAGTATGAAAACGTAACAAACTAAATCCTGTTATGTATGGATATAGTTCGCGTACACTCGAACCATTTTTACAAGTATAATAAGAAGGAAAATAAGAAATCCCTTTGCTTTATAATTATCGAGAATTATCAGTAACTTAAGAGATTGCACTATCACATGGCGACCATACGGCAGGATAGATTTCTTTTTCAATAGTTCCATCGAACTTAAACTGCGAATGTGAGAAAGAAAAAGATTTTTTTTTTCTAATAAACATTTGAATAGAGGAACTTGTGCCTTTTGAAAATAGAAAAAAGTACAAAGGAAAAAAGAAAAACATCAAATGGAAGTGTGATCAGATATAAAGAAAACTGACTTATGAATAGATCATATGCTTGTTGAACGTGATAAACTGTACTATTTTTTTGCAAAATGGTACGCATAAAGATGGTTTGTTGTAAGTTCCTCTAAAAACAATAGAGATAGTTTTTTTTTTAAGTTTTAAACTTTTTGTCTTTTTTGGGGATAAATGAGCGTATTGGTTCTCTTCAATTGAAGTCTAAATATTCCGAAGTACGGCTTTAGCAAACGAGAAAAAGGAAAATAGGGACTTGAAATCATCAGCTTCTATAACATTACCACGGCCTTTCTATAAATGATGATGAAGAGTAGAATCTCTTCTCAAAAATCTTAGAGCGATACTGTTATAGTTATAGGATTTGGATTCTCTCCCACGATCAGAAATTAATTGACACATCATTTGAATGAACACTTGTAACAGTAAGCTGATCTCTATCACCCAACAACTTACCCATGCCTGACCCAATCAATTTTACCATCAATTACAACTGAGCCCATTTAAACATTAACAAAGATACATCAATTACACGGAAGGGCATTACAGCTCTTTGTTACTGTATAAAGGAGATATGTACAGTAATTACAAGATGGAAGAATGTTCATTAGTAAACACTGTGCAGAGAGAGCCTTCATTTTCAAGGGCCTGGTATTTCTGTAAACATTTCACATCCTTACTTCTACTATATCACCATCCTTGAGTTCGGTATGTGGCCAAACAAGCTGGCCATTCACGAGTACTAGTTTTCCATCAAGACCGATCCTATAGGCAGCGTCAGCTGCAGTGCTTCCGGATTTCATCCTCATTATATCGCCATTTGGCCAGCAGACAATAGCTACTTCTCCAAGAGTTCCAGACTTGGATTTATCTCGCCTCGTTTCTCTAGTTGATACTCCGCCTCGAACTTGCTCTTCCCATTGAAGCATTGTCCTCAGCAAACTCACCTATTCATCATAAAGAACTAAGATTAAGGACAAACACAGTCGATATGATGTCAATTTGCATAAGAATAAGAGACTACTGCATCCTTTAGTTTCAAGATTATTTGGCATGCAAGTCTTTGACAAGGTTATGTCATAGACTCATATACAAAGGGCAAGCTAATAAAAGAGTTAAATAATTCACTGAAGAACCAAAATACAGGAATAAACAAACATAAGATCCCAAATAAGTTTTTGATGTACCTCCAGCATAAACAAACATAAACAAACTAAAATTAGGATCTTTGTTGATCAATAGTAAAGCATGTGATAAATATTAGTGCAGCCAGTAACAAAAAGAAGAGAGACTCACAAACAGTCCATCTCTTATAGACTGTAATCATTCCTGTAATAACAATACTACATTACACGGGCACATCAAAAGTATGTGGTAAATAGTAGGTAAAGCAGACAAGAAAAAAATTGCTTCTCAGGCATGCCTAGCTACACATAATAAACAGAGTCAAAATTCAGCATCCATTATTTCAGTAGACAAGCAGAAATTCAACAGAAAATCTGCAAGAAATTATACAAAAAAGCTATAGGCATATAGAACTTACTGCACACCTACAACAATGTACAAGGTAAGCGTACTCTTGTGAGATTTAAAGTGTTGCACTTTCGTGTTGCATCTTTGATAAAGTACCAGAAAGGATATTGCAGTTGGAGAAATCTTTGAAGGAAGAACAGTTTGGTTTAATCAGCAGTTGGGATACTCTACCAACAGGATGGAGTGAAAATAGACTGATAATCAACAGTCAGACCCCACATGGTTGGATAATAATAAAAGAAGGGCTATGGTGCTTGGCATGAGGAAAGAACAGACTAGAAAGATCAAGACAGTAATATCTGTAATGGCAGAAACAAATCTCATGATAATGAGGAAGTCAACTGGAATAGGAATGGTAGATGTTGACTTTGATTTGGGACTGTTTGGTTATTTGTAAGATCAAGAAGACTTTGGAAAAAACACTACCAAATGTAATGGGGAAGGAAAAGCACTGCCATTATTTCCATGCTCTTCCTCCCACTTTCTAACTTTAAATCTAGAAATGGGTTAGAAAGAAACTAATGAACGGCAGACTCTCCTTCACTCCCCACCATTTTTTTTCACCACAGAACTTGCATGTTTTCAGTAGCCAAACATCTACCTTTCCTATGGCAAATGAAAAGTTTTCCACTTACTGTGCAATTAGATGTAACCAAACAGCCCCACCTGAACATGAAGTGATTGTAATACACACGACGCAAGAAACTGTTGGCACCAGGAACAGTGAATAAATATATTTGTCAACAACTAAGCTAGTACTTCCCAACATAATCGAATTTTTATATAAACAAATACTAGAATGGTACTCTTAGCATATAACTCCTTGTGCTTTTGTCATTAATATAAAGAACTCTTAGTAATTTGCCAAGTAATCCTCCTGTTTTAACAAAATATTTTGAAACACTTAAAAACTTCTTTGTTGAAGTTGTTGTTTTAAAAAATGCAAATACCTTATCAATATATAGATTTACAAAAGTTCTGCGACTACCTAGAAATGAGCCAGAGCTTTTTTATATATCTAGGAGAGAATTTGAAGTTACATGCTAAAATAACCTCACTAGAATGACAATTCATTTGATGTGCAAACTAGAGAACATTAATTGACATGGAACTGTGCGTAACTGAGTGCAATACATAAAAATTAGTTATTTCTGAGCAGTAGTTGTTTTTAAAATTGCAAGACATTTTTTTCTTGCTCTAACTGGGTGCAAATGAGTTGCTGGGCTACTGACCTTATTATTGATCCCATTTTTGAAACGAGTGGAAGAGTAAGAGTCCAAGCTTGCCCTTTCAGAGTAATCTGCAGCTGAAGGAGCAGGTAAAATAGTTCTTCCCTCAGACACAGCAGACACAATCATCCAGTATTCGGATTCCTCCTGTTCTGTTAGATCTATTATCTGTATGAAGGTGGGTAACATGCGCTGAAATTGATCTTGCTGGGAAAAAAAGGAAAGAAAAAGCATTCTGATCAGATATTAGACCACTATTTGACATCCAATCAAAACCAGAACAAAATTTTTTAAGGACAGAGATTATCACTTCATAATAATACGTGGTCTGCAGAAAAATAGAGCTAGAAAAAGTATAATATTGGGCTGCATCCACGGGCACAATCTAAATAGTAGTACCAGTGTTTTCACAATTTCAGCAGTGTTCAAAAGGATGTATAAGACAAGATTCTTCTCTGAAATCTTAGTTACTGTTCTTACTGACTAATAAGTAATGATGAAGAGAAGTATAGGAACACACCCTCTTCTGTGAAATCTTAATGAGACTATTGTTTCCTAAATAACTGATTATCAATTATGTCAAAACAGAAAAATGAGATACTGGTTGAAAGGAAACTATTAAAATATTACTAGTAGAGTAAAAAAACTCCTGCTACAAGAGAGCAAACCTATTTCTCCAATAGCTTATCACATCTGAGCTCCTGTACATTTTCCCATGGACAAGAAAATCAATGGCAAAACCTATTTCTATTATCTACTGAAACCAACTTCTAAAGTGGTCAATGCCATTATTAAGAACCAAACATCTCTAATTCTCATCATCAAAATTTATGGTCAATTACAAGAAAAGATACATTATCCTCTCCTTGTACCTGCCAAGACCTAGTAAATATCTAGTTAAAATGATCTTTCTACAAACAATGATATCCAACATATACATGCAACTTTTCTCATGCTTAAGTTGTTCGTGTAGCAAGCACCTTATGGAATATCCCATCTTGGCATAGTGTGTACTTCTCAAGGCATGTACACCAATCACCATGGCCTGGTGCAAACCACCACTGGTCAGAGACCTGAAATATCAAATTTCCTTCAGAGAACAAACCAATATAGACATGTCACAAGCTTGCAACACAAATTTACTGAGTAAATGCATGAGCATTATAAGAAATCCAGAACACCAGTTAATTTTCAATATAAGGATACATATACATAGCATATGCCATATACACATAGCATCGAGTATCACCATCGTACACGAAATAAGGGGTTACTTGATATGACCACTTGGCTAACAGAGCTGGAACTAATGGATAACAGAAACATAACAAAGGTCATATGACAAATACCAGGAGGTAGATGTTTATTGACAATCTTGAGTAAAATAACTAATGGCAGATAATCCTTATAGCAACTTTCGTAATGTCTTGTGGTCTCGATCAGTGGCGAATCCAAAAAACTTTTTTAGGGGGGGGACGATAAGTATCTAGTGACCTAAAAATAAAACTATGTTATTATAAAAGTGTACCTGATAGGAATGCAATCAGTACATTTTGTCGGCTTCATGGCATTATATTTTAAAACTTTTGCGACTAGTTGCTCACTTTCCATTGCACTTAGTACGCTATATCATATGACTGAGTGCAAATTTTTTATACAATGGGGGCGGACTATAATTTTAGAAAGCTTTGAGAAGCAATTTTAAATTTCACGGGGCTGCAACCGCACCCCTAAGAATCAAGTGGATCCACCCTTCGTCTCAATACGCTGGATTGGTGTCTCGCTTTATGCAACGTGACCAAGATGACACCAATGTAAATATAAATACCTAATCACGGAGTAACCTTGCAAAACATGGATATACAAACATGCAGGTTTCAGTATGTTACCCACACGCTTCCTCAGAATCACTTATTTACAACTTAAATTCTAAAAATACCAAATTTAGCAATGAAACTCATTATAGAGTGCCAATGAGGATTACAAAATGCAAATTGTGGAACTTTTCGGTTTCAGGGTATAAATGCTTTGTAGAATAGTGCATATCAATATCCAGATACTAACTAAGGGTTAGAACAAACATGCCTTAAAAAGAAGGTTTTCTTTTCATGGCCATAACTCCAGCCACCCAATTAAATGGAGCCCCAGTTAGTTAAGGAGCTCACCTCAAAGTCAAGAAAGCTTCACTAAAAAAAAGGAAAAAAAAAGACCAAATTTTGCAAGACTGATACTTGTTGAAAAGATAATATTATACCCTGTGGTTTTACTTCATCAATACACGGAACAGGATCTGAACAGTTGCATCTTGTGAATTTATTGGTGAATGGTAAGAGAACAGTAATGTCCCCACCATGCAAAATCAGTGTGTATATAGTATCAAGTTTTTGGATTTGAAATTTACAATTGGCTTTATAACTGAAAATAAATATGAAGCAGACCTTTTTATAAAGCCTAGCATAAGCTTCCCAACGCTTCTTCTGGAATGAAGATCTTCTTTCCGCTACAGCTTCAGAAGCTTCAAGAGCAAAACTCACTGCAACTAGAAGCTCCCTTCCACCCTTATCTACCCTGTGCAAACAGAGCTCTATTATATGAGAGATATATCCATCTATGAGTACCTAATTGCAATTACGGTGAGATTTTGCTGAACCTGACAATGACCGCTGCAAGTAAATGACTACCCTCCACCCTAAGAACAGGATGGCCTGGTTTTATAGAACCATACTTTTGGTAAATATCATGTTGCAAATAACCTTCATGCTCTAAACTGTTAGTTTGGAAGGAAGATGCACTGATCTTATCATCATATGTGCTGCTTGTAGTTTCCCCCTTATTCTCCTTATATAACCAATGAGCAGCAAGTCCAAACTCAGCGTTGGCATGCATCATCTTCAAAGAAAAGAAAAAAAAACATTATCATATGGAACTCTAAATTTCTACCAGATTAAAATAATTTGCTTGGGTAGCTTCTGATTTATGAACTTCTTACCTGTGTTCTTATTTGCACCTCTAAAGGTGAGCCGTCAGGACCCTGCACAGCTGTATGAAGAGACTGAAATGACAAGCAAGTTAGGGCCAATGTTTGACGATGAACGAATAGCACTTTGAATAAGAATCCATTCCATAATGTGAAAATGGTAAGAAGTAAGGAAAATTTGTTTGGAAACCTAGAACTTCCCTTTAGTCATAAAAATATAATGATGTACTGCATTTTACTGGGGTATATAAGAAAAAATAAATTCTACAGGAAAATTTTGGCCAAAAACATCTAATGCAGAAGTTTGCCTAAAAAGCTCTTCATTTTGACAATAAAGGCAATGTGATTATTTGATTAATCAACTTAACATCAGAGGAAATAACAATCACCTGATAACCACTTGACTTAGGATTGATAATATAGTCATCAAATTCACCATCAATTGGAGTCCAGAGCCTACATAACGAATCAGCATCAAATCACGCTGGTCAACGCAATAATGGCTGATCTATAAAGAATTAACAACTATTGCATCCATCGAGAGACTTTTCCTAGCATAAATTGATAAGGGGATGACACAAGTAGTTTTATTGCTTTTGCATGAGCATAGTTCAAACATTTTATGATGCACTAGACATGGGAAAATATTAACTTTCTCAATACATCAAACATTCCACCTCAAGCACAATGTTACAGTAATCCTAAAGCAAAAACAAAATGAGATTGATTGAACTATTTTGGCAGAAAGGATGGAGCCGTAAAAGAAAATATCTGCTTCCTTGAGGCAAAGGACATTGGATTAACTTGGAACATATTGTCAATAATATAATATCAGACACCCTAAGTTGCACGGTTACAAGACACTACAAATTTGTAAAAGGTAGGGTACGGGGACATGGCTGAAAATCATGGGATATTTTCATAATTCTGAGCTATATAAGTAAACAACGATTTTAAATCGTAACTTTCAGGGCTGAAACCTAAGTTGCATGGAAACAGGCAAGGGTACTGGCATGGGTGCGGGTAGGGGACACGGCAAAATTGTAAAATGTAGGGTACGGGGACACAGCTATATATATATATATATATATATATATATATAAAAATTTTTATTCATTCAAAACCGTTAAAATTGATACGAGTGGATGAATGGTCAAACGACGATGGGTTCACTCCAAACTTGGTGTGTTAGGGTTTTAGAATATGTAGATCAAGTTTAACGGAGCGGATCATCCACAATGTCGCTCAATCATGTGATTTTAGAGGCGTCAAGGAGGAAATCTCCTCCTATGATAAGGATACCCATTAATATATATATATATCTCTCTATATATATATATATATTGAATTAATAATGTACATAAGATAAAATTTTCCCGCTTCATGTGTCATTAGAATTAAAATTTCGATTATATTTTTGAGTTTCTTTTATCATATTGATTATGGTGAATTGTAAATTACTAAACATCTAAACGACCCATTAACTATATAGTTTTGAACTTGGGTATGGACTGAAACGAACCCAACTCGTATCTCATTAGTTTCAAAAGACGGATGTGAAGTGTAAGCTCTACGTCCAGGAAGTCTTTGACAAGTGTTTTAAATTAACACATATATCGTATAATTGAGTACATGTTGTAATAAATGCATGCATATATTCAAGAAGTGTCCATGAAGTTTAGGTACGGGAAAGTGTCGGGTACATGTCCGGTATGGGTACGACTTCATTATAGAAGTACCCGGGTAACATAGGCTGAAACAAACTCGACCGTTATCCGACAAGTTACGAAAATGGATCTGAAGTGTCGGATATATATCCAAAAAATCTGTGACAGGTGCTTTAAATGAAACATGCATTGTATAACTGAACACACATCTGAATATATACATGCATATATTTAAGGAGTGTCCAAGAAGTGTCAGGTACAGATATGGGTTCATATTAGAAGTACCCAGGTAACCTAGGTTACTCGGACACAGTGTTTTGGGTGCCATGTCTGTGTCCGACATGTGCTGGACACGGATTCTTCGCGGACACGCCATAGACGCGTATAATTTAAAGCAAAACCCGATTTCCCCATAACTTACACCCTAAATTAGTTTCTTTGGTAATATCGGGTTCAAAACCAATCGGTTTTTTAACACAAAAACTAACACTCATCACTTAAATATTTGAAAAATACTCATTATGTTATGTCATGTTATCAAAACTAAACTTTTAATGTTAAACTTTATTCTTAGTTTGATTTAACACGATCCTTAATTGTTATAGATTATAGAAAGAAACATATAAAATGTTATAGGTACTTTAATTCAATATTTGATCTAATGTAGATTATATATAGACAATTACACACGTGTGCGGCGCCGCCCGCACACACAACACACACACATAGTTGTTTCCCTATATCCTACAGTTTACAAATTTGTCGTATCCCATGTCCGTGTCGACACCCGTGCCGTGCTACCTAGCAGGTAACGTAGCAGACATCCCATAAAAATTGGCTTGGCTGTACAGCACAATTCTAAATTGAAATGCTAATATAAGCAATTTGACCAAATGTTACAACCATCTGACAACATCGATTCAGTACAACTTCATGGGATAAGCACATTACGTGCAGTACGCTAGCTAGCATGGAGAATATTATAGAGCCAGAATGACTGCATATATTTGATATCGGAGGTTCACTTAGAGAATGAAAAATATTATCAGTTATTACCTGTGGACAATGTCAAGAAGACTATAGCAGCTCTTAACGGCAGGTCCATGGAGTGTTCCATTCCTGTCCCCCACGACGACTCTTAATGCCCGAGCATCGTAAACATGTCTAATGCTAACATCTTTCCTTTTCATCTGTTAACAAAATAATGTAGAAGAACTGAAGTTACAAAATGAAAGCACATAGCCGCACAACAGATATAAAGTATAGCCATTAGGCATTTGTAGTTAATGGAAAACATTTGGTTTAACATAATGAAGAATAATCTATTTGAATCATTTTGGCACTGAAAGTAACAGAAAAGTTAAAACAATAAGGAAAGTAATATGAGCTTTATTTTCATGAACTTGGCAAAAGTATGCGTATGAGAGTGCTAATGTGTTGAATGGTAACAGTTTTAAAGACAATGTATACTGAAAGAAAAATGATGAGTGCAGCAAAAAAAATCTCCCAGTGCAGTCAACAGGCCTACAAAGCACTTGAGTGATAAGGGAAATATATAATTTTATAGTGTATATATAAGATCCCTATCATAATGGCATAGAATATGTACACTAAGGAAGGAATAGCAAGAGGAGTCTGCCTATGTTTGTACCATAATCACCTAAGAAAATCCAAAAAAAAAGTAGGACATATTGACATAGTTTAATCGAGTTCAAAACCTCACAAAACTTTCCAGATGACAATAACAAAAATTAACTTATATGATTCTATTTTTCTTTTCCTTATTTGAATTAACTACCCATTAACAACCATAATTTTGATTTCTACAACTCTTTTCATATTTGGATAAAAAGAACAAACTTTGAGAGTTTTTGCAGTAAACTTCCCTAGGTTTTTAACATATGATTACAACTAAGACCTACCACTCTATTTATTTATATGATTTCAAGTAACTCCTATTTACTTTGCGTGAAAGAAAAAGGGTACCTAATGGTAGTTAGACCCAAATAAAGAAAAGTGGAAAAAGAAATTTCACCAGAACCCAAATATCTCTAATATGTGAAAAGACAAGGAATAGGGGAGAATCATACGGCAAAGAATCACTTTCTGAAACACACTAAAACTTACAAATGTCAGATCTTGCTACTTGCAAAAAAATGAAATACCTTGCAATAGATACTGTATATGCTTTTAAGTCGACTAGACAGAGTTACTTCCATCCCTGGAATATAACTGCATAGAGTCATTGAAGGGGGGAAAAACAAATTAGTCATTGCAGCAATGATGGAAAAATGTCCACTCGTAATATTCGCATACAATCTTCCATACAAGACCATATTTGTACAACATGGCAGGTGTCCTCCGTGTAGAGTATGAGGTTATATGTTCCGTTATTTATTTTTTTTATTTTTAATAAGGAGCACTCAAAAAGTAAAATATGATCCTTAATGAATAGAATAGAGAATTATTTTCAGTTTGGCTCCTTGATAGAAGGCCATCCTTAAAAAAGTTACAACATCTCACCATTGGCATGCTACGCTACATAGAAATCTAAACAGGTGACTAAACTTGACAGGAGTTGCATTCACATTCTCTTAGTACATATAATTTTCGTCATGAGAGATAACTGAGGTTTTAAGCTAAACATAGTTTTTCTGGAAAATGCAACATGAGCTAAAACAAGTTCTGCAACAAGTCATAAATGTTCAGTTGTTTTTCAACTTAAACTACTAAATAGGGTACATTATTACTCACGAGTTCGATATTAGCAATTCCCTCTCAAGTGCTTCCTCACAAACCACTAAAGATTCTAGTGCAATGACAGCATCGATTACCACCTTGGGCATATTTTGTGAAGTTTGTAAAAAGTTCCTGTGGTTATTAAGAAAGTTAGTGCGCTTTTGGCGATCCAGCAACAGATCAAATGGCCATACAGCCTGCAAAAGATCCTGCAGATAGAATTGATACGAGTATTAAGGCCAGAAATTAATAATTGATAGAAGACAAGAAAAATGTCAGTACTGTGGGGATAATAATAGCACGGAAGAAAATAGCCTATGCAAAAATTCCAATTAAAATCAGCTTACTAGAAATTGAGTTAGAGACACGACCATTATATTTCAAGTTGATGAGGATGAGGAATCAACATACAGCAGTAATTACCAAAAGAATGAAGATGCCAAAAAATTCAATTGAAATCATAAGTAATCAAAATATTTCATAAGTATATTTACATGTATTCTCCACTCATAATAATAACCACATTAGATACAGAAATTTGTGAACTAAATGGAATTGTTATGCCACGAGTTATTCACTATTCATCCAAAACCTTAATAAATTGCCGTGATATACCTCTCACCTGCATGTTACCCCTTTCATAGCTGGAAGTAGGCCGATCATAATTGGAAACTGCGTTGGTGTCCTGCAGCCCTAAATGACAGTCAGACTTAAGTGATAGTCTTCTAAAACTTTTTACCCTGTTGACAGGATTCCACATTGAGGCAAGCTCAGCTCGCATCTTCCGAAACATATGTGGCTGCATAAATAAATAAACTATTGATGTTTTTGTTTGATAGTTGTAACAATAATTAATAAAGCAAACTTGTGATACAAGTAGAACGAATCATATATTCATATCATGGAAAATATATGTATACTGTAACATTGATGGTATAATAAAATGAGAAGGAGAGAGTTTTTAATGTATTTTCTTATTATAAGTTCTATAGTTCCAGAAAGAATTTCCATATGCTTATCAGAAGATTCAGAATGATTGATGGTATGGTTCCCCATAAATTTAGACACTTATAATACTACTGCATCATATTAGTTCCATTTTACATTTTGGTATAGTGGCGATGTATGCTATATTTTATTAGAAGTGTCGACACCTTTAGTTCCATAAGGAGGACACACATGAACACTCTAATGCACAGATCATTACCTAATATTTATATCTTTTATTTAGAAAGTCTTTTCCCATATAGGAGTGAATTTATTTGTTAAGAATTTACCTTTCACCTTCTATTCAGATTTTGATATTGATAGGAAATTCATCTATTTTATCGGAGTTAAGTTAGGTTATTAATGAATTTAGTTTCCCTTGTTTAAATTTCAGTTGAAGGCTCTGCTTAGTTTCTGTTAGTTGAACGAAAGACGTTAATTCAGCTGATATCATTATCCAAAATCTCTGGATTTTTTTCAATATTCTCACCTATTCCTTTCTTCAAGCTTCTAACCCTCTTCTCTTCCTTAAATTTCTTCCCTCCTCAAAACCAATTTTCTAAAAGACGTACCTTGGTCACGTGTGTGCACACTTACATAGCATTACTATACCAGAAACAACACGTTAAATCTATATGTAAGTTTAACACATTTGCCACAACTAACTATTGTTTTAAAGTAAAGCACAGATGGTCCATACTATTTAATCTCCACTCTCATTATAAAGTTCATATAAATTGCAATGGTCAGGAGATGTCTATGCGTACTTTTAAAAGTGAACGCAGTGTGTACGTTTGTGTTTATCTCTCTCTGGTTGTATATGTACTTACGAGTTGGATATATAGCACTAGGTCTATCAAGGTCTCTCAACTTTCCATATCTATTTCTTTGTTTGAGAGAATTGCCTGCATCAAGTGACATCTCCAGATTTATGGAAAGCCTCTTTTTTCTGTGTCCTTTCCTTCAAGAATTCTCAATCATTTAGAGGGCTGTTGTGGCAGGTATGGAGAAGTTCGTTGAAGCCTATGTTGCATGGGTACAGGTATGGTGCAGGTACTGTACGGGACACAGCAAATTTGTAAAAGGTAGGAAAGGGGACACATCTATATAAATATTAATATACACATATATATTATATACCGGAATTAATAATTTATATGAGAACAAGGATGATAACTAAAATTCTTATAATAATTTTTTTTTTCCTTTTATTATGTGGATCATAAATTGGAAAATCACTAGTTTCTGAACTAGACATCCAAACAACCCTTCAAAATCATAATTCAGAAGTTGATCAATGTCCAATGAGTTTCAAGAAGTAGATGAGAAGTGTAGGATATACGTCCGAAAAATGTGTGACAAGTGTTTTAAATTAGAACATGTATTGTATAATTAAGTACATGCCCGGATAAATGTATGCATATATGCAAGGAGTTCGGGTACGGATACGTGTGAGGTATGGGTATGGCTTCAAATTAGAAGTACCCAAGTAACATAGGTCGAAGGTCTTTCCTTGGCTATGCTTTCCTTCAAGATATCTCAACAACTTAAAGAGGGTCGATGTCAACTGCAGTCGGTACAGAGAAAATTATCAAAATATTCATTGTTAGAATTAATATAAAACTATAATCCTTGATCTCACCATAACTTCAGAGTTTTGGTGTGATGGTTAGAGGAACTAAATTTAAGATGGTATCAGAGCAACCTAGGTTCAAATCCCACCGGCCACGAATTAAATGTGGATTTTCTAAAAATTGACACCGCTACGTGAGTCCAGGTTTCGACCCATAAAAAAGGGCGCTCGACCTGCTTTCTAAAAATTGACACCGCTACGTGAGTCCAGGTTTCGACCCATAAAAAAGGGCGCTCGACCTGCGGGGGCATGTTAGAATTAATATAAGGTTTCGACCCATAAAAAAGGGCGCTCGACCTGCGGGGGCATGTTAGAATTAATATAAAACTATAATCATTGATCCTCATCATAACTTCGAAGTTTTGGTGTAATGGTTAGAGGAACTAAATTTAAGATTTATGAACAATTTTAAAGGTTGATTTCAACCTGCACTGTTAATGATTCCATTCTAATGGGAAAATACTATATGATGATAATATATGTACATGTGCACGTTGGGCAGCAGTCACTCAGATGGCAAAAGTGCATGCACAGACTTGTTTACAGATAGGTGGAGAAAAGGAAAAAAAGTTAAATTATGAATAATTATAACAGAAACGAATTATTAGTCTTTGAAAAGAGTGAAGGATGATAGTTTTGTCTGTTAATAAATATTGTACTATGAGGGATATAAGAACCTCTAATGTTCTGATAAAGAAAATGTTTAACGAAACCTAAATTCGAGCATCACACACTTTACCAAAATAACCACAGGCTAAGGAGAAATCATATTACACTTCAGTGGTCATAAATTGTAAAAAACAGAATGAAGGCATCAGTTATATCAAAACCAAAAACAGGATGTGTCAGAAACAATTCTTCTATGAAAACCAGTGAAGGCATCATTTCTATCTAAAATATATTTTCCTACAAGAACGCAATGGACTCCTGTCAGAAACAATTCTTCTATGAAAACCAGTGAAGGCATCATTTCTATCTAAAATATCTTTTCCTACAATAACGCAATGGATTAAAACCAAGATAAATTAGGTAAACAGACCTGGAGAACAGCAAAGCATAGATCTTCCAGTTCTGCTTTTAGAGCCCAAATCCCCAGTCTTGATGCAAGAGAGCACCATACAGCCAACGTCTCTTGAGCGACTGCTTGTGCTTTAGGTACTGATAGTGCATAACTGAAAGATAGGCAAAGAAGAAGGGGAAGCTTAGCATGTTCAGGAATTCGCTGAATTCATGAAAAGACGACATAAACATATATCCCCATTCAATAGTTTTTAGGTATCGTCACTCATCAGTTTCAGCTGGTATGCAAAGATGACAAAACTTTGAAAGTTAATGGAAGCAAATTGGGTGGCTATGTATGATTTTACTTGACCTAAAATATTACTAAAAACCTAAGTTGCATGCAAACAGGTACGGGTACCTGTACGGTTGCCGGTATGGGGGTCCAGCACACGGCAAATTTGTGAAATATAGGGTACGAGGACACGGCTACATATATATATTGAAATTAATAATTTACATGAGAACATTATTATTTTTTAATTCACGTGCTATTGTAATTTAAATTCCTATCATATTATTAAATTTCTTTTATTATGTTGATTATTATAAATTAGAAACTACTCATTTTTTAACTAGACGCTCAAATCACCCATTTAAATCTAAGTTTTAAACTTGGGTATGGAATGATCAAACCCGACACATGTCCAATGAGTTTCAAGAAATGGACATGAAGTGTAGGATATAAGTTCAAGAAGTATATGACAAGTATTTTAATTAAGAAATATATCACATACTCGAGTACATGTTTGAATAAATGTATACATATATCTAAGGAGTGTCCATGAAGTTTGGGTACGGGTATGTGTCCGGTACGTGTCCGGTACGGGTATAGCTTCATGATAGAAGTACCTGGGTGACAGCTAACAACTGAAAAGTATACTGTTATCCATTGCAGATTTGAGGGATGTTAAGTATAAGCTACAAAGAGAATTGAACGGATTTAGAATTTGTATAAAGGGAAAGGAATGTGATATCCAATTTAATGCAACTTACCATAAAAGGTTTGTCTCATATCCCCACAAGAATCATAGGAGGAAATATGTATTTTTAGTCAACATTAAAATACAATCCTTGCAAGGAGAGTTGTACCAGCCGTTTGCAAGCTAAATTACTTGTTTTACTTGTCTTTTGGCTAAAACATCATTTCATAAAATTTTAACATATTTTAATAAATGTGTGTAACATGTTTGACATTCATCTAAGGAGTGCCCATGAAGTTTGGGTACGGTTACGTGTTAGGTACGTGTCCGGTACGGGTACAGTTTCATAGTAGAAGTTCCTAGGTGACATAGCTAAAAAGTGAAAAGTATATTGTTATCCACTGCAGATACGAGGGATGTTAAGTATAAGCTACAAAGAGAAGTGAACGGATTTAGAATTTGTATAAAGGGAAAGGAAATGTGAAATCCAATTTAATGCAACTTACCATAAAAGGTTTGTCTCATATCCCCACAAGAATCTTAGGAGGCAATATGTATTTTTAGTCAACATTAAAATACAATCCTTGCAAGGAGAGCTGTACCAGCAGTTTGCAAGCTAAATTACTTGTTTTACTTGTCTTTTGGATAAAAAATCATTTCATAAAATTTTAACATATTTTAATAAATGTGTGTAATATGTTTGGCATTCATAAATCCAATATCTTTCATATAAACTGCTGAAAGATCTCTCTCCAAGGCCACAAATTCCATGGTGCAGTCTGTCACCTGTTTTTAAACTTTTAATATTTTTGATGCCGTAAATGGCGTTTTATTATGTTTGGATCTCAATAAGAGAGATTAAGGAGTAACTGAAATTTTAATGAGAATATTGTTGAGAGGGGAGGATTGTTAGGTTTTTTGTAGTTGAGTGATTGAGGTGATTAGGATTGTGGTGTTGACTTTGAGAAGACAGCAGAAGGTTCGATGGAGAGATGAGAAGAGGGAACATACCGGTAGGAGCAAATTTTTAAGACCCTGAAAATTGAGCGGTCAAGTACTAAATATGATGATTTGAGAGGCAATTTCTAAATGTGAATGATTTGAGGGTTGTACATCAAACAATCCTTTAATAACTAAACATCAGTTGCACAATTAATATGGAGAATGAATCCCAATAGGTTGATCCGCGATCCAGGTTTATGGTAAATGGTAATTAAACTGACCAATGGGCAATAAAATTTAACAAATCTAGAACTCTTATACAATATGTACTTCATAGGTAGAAAAGCACTTTTGAGGATCAAGACAATCAACAACCAAGGTCCAAAATCTCGATATCTGTGCCAGTTTTGGCTCAGCATGTTTGATCAAGATATAAAAAAAATTGGTTTCAGTAATTTCCAGTCAGGAAAATGGGATTATTGCCACAGCCCACTTTAAAACACAACATACATTTTTAGATTGACAAATACTAAACATGATTGATAATGTTGGTAATGCTTAAAGCCTTAAACTATTGGGAAAAGTACTTACAGAATTGGAAATGTATTGAGTATGAAATAAGTGTAGCAATTACGTATATGCCAGCCTCAACCGGGAAAATATAAAGATATTCTATAAATGTATTGAAGGCAAGATTGATTGGAGGACATGCTTAAATATGACATAGATAATGACTTACTAACCAGTTCACTAACCGAAATATAAAAAGCGTTTTGAGATTTTGATAAGAGCATACATGGTTCTCATGTTATGCAGCCTGTCTGCAAGCTTGATCAGGACAACACGAGGATCGTCAACCATGCCCAAGAGCATAACTCGTAAATTATTTGCCTAGAGAGACCAACATGTAGAACTTATCAGAGAAGCAAAAGAAGATACCAAACTAACCAGTATTTACAGTGGCCATATACTCAAGTTAAACAGATAATAAGAAATGAAATTCACATTAGCCATATATTCTCGTGAACGCCTGAACTCCTTCACAAGTCACGACTGTCACACCACATGGTATCAGAACACAAATAATGGGTATCATAGGCACAAAGCATGTACATAATTAATATGAGTAGAAAACAATTGAAAGAAAATGATCAATTGACATTGGCAACCAGATGGGCAAGGAATTAATGTCAGATGTAGTTGATTGCATACTATATCGCTCATGCTCTACAGCATTAAAACCAAACACAAGAAATTGCTTTATTTCTCCATGCTCACGACAGCATTTATAACAAAACAACAGGAATTCTTTGCTGCAGAAAGATCTGCTTCTGTACCAAATTTGATGCTTCATAGATCAATGAGAATGATCAATTGTCTATGACTAAAAGATTTGAAATAACAGAATACGTGCAGGAATTCTCAATGGAAGAGAAAAGGAACTGATAATTTTCTTAAAAGAAGAATAACTAGAGAGTCGCCGCCTCCAAATTCCAAAAGCTAATTTATCAGTACCAAGTTCTCCAGAAGCCAGACCAAAGAAGAGGAAAATCACAACTGTAGGCTCTGTTTTCTTAAATAGGAAACTAAATTTCAGCATTCAAATCAAAGAATTAAGGACACTTAGATAAAAAAAACATAACTTAATAACCTTTAATAAACAGTGCTACAGTAACCAGCTTACTTTTTACAGTGTAGCATAGCACCTTGGGTTACAGTCCACATACTGTATATTACTTCCTCTCCTCTTCCTTATCAGCAATGTAAAAAAAATCCTTCCTCGTCCGGCCTTGCTTATCCTATGTCGAACCAAATCCTTTAAAGAAAATAGCTACAGAATTCAACTTAAATCATTTATAGCTTCGACCTAGCACCTCCCAGTCTATCCGGTCCAATGTTGTTTTTCTCTATTGTGGATAATTGTGCACATTCTGTTGTCAATATGTATACAACTGACACAAGGCAATCTCCTTATACTCGGGAAGAAAAGCATAGTAATACTATTACTTATTACCAAATTTCACATTCAAGGGAAACTCCATACTATCTTGAAGTAGGAGATCTGGACTTGATTTATTGAAAACCATCACACAATTTAAAAGAATATGATAATATGAGCTTGACGAGAAAACAAAAGTATAATTTTTCTGTAGATGTTCCCCCCCAATCCAAACAACATGCGCGCACACACACAAAACAAACAAACAAACAACCCACAAGAATGAAAAAAACAAGAAAAAAAGATAAAATTGCACATGAACCACGAGAATATGTTCATTGGCACACAAACCATAGATGTTATTTCTTAAGGGACTCCTCACAATCTTCCAACTTGGTTCAAATTCTGTCTATTAACAAAATACTTCTTTTACACAGTACATCAACCATGTGATTATTAATGATATATACCCCATTACTATAACCCTTTAATATGTAACATATCATCAATGTAAGAGAAAAAGGAGCAAAGGTTTGGTAAACAGTGCAATTAGAAGAGGATCCTAACTTCTTCAGGAGTAAGTGCACTTCTGCTTATACTTTTTCTTCGATGTCTTCGCAGTAGCTGCACCACATAAGAACAAACAGAAATTACATCTGATTTACATAAACAAGGAAATGAAATCATATGTACATAAAACACAGAAAAAAATGGTTGTATGTGCACAGAAAAAAAAGTCACTAATTGGAGAAATTTTCTACTAAGGTTCTAGATGTAAAAAAGAAGATTCCCCTAGAACAATGCAAGCTAAAATACAAATTATAGTTAGTTGAACTTTATACTGACTGCGAGCTAATGCAATAAAAGACCTTTTAAAAAAAGAGACAAAGGTAAGTAGTAACTATCTTTACAGCATATTACAATGCATATCAGGATATGACATCTGCCTTCATTTTTGCTCATTTTCTAAAGAAAGATAGGGTCAGTTAGTAAAGATGTGAACGATCATCATATATGCCTCCATTTATTTTTATTATCTACCTCATTTAAAGGTAAGAAGCTTCAGGTGCAATTTGCACTTTTGCAAAGATAAATATTAAATTGTTTGGCTGCTTTTCAAATAAAAGATAGCATGTCACTATAGACTGATAGCTGTAGACTTGTATCAAGTCAAACTGCCCTATCATATTTTTTTGTCATATAAAACACCACATATTGAAGTGTTTGGTGCGGGCACACACAAATAGAGAGATAGACACGCGCACACACAGAGAATACAGACACAGTTTTCTTCTTTTTTTTTTTTTTTTTGGGGGGGGGGGGTTTTTTTTTTGGGGGGGGGGGGGTGTTGATTCTCCACCAAGAGGAGGAATCTCCTCCCACTTTCTGCAACTGAAGTGCAACTCTCCAAAAGTTGAATGGTCTAAGAAAGAGAATTATGGACAAAAACAGGGTGAGAATTATTTGCATTATATATATTTAATATAATTTTGACCTTGTACAAAAAAGGATGAGTTATATAACAAGAACATGTTTAATAATGCATCCACTGTGCAAGAAAAGGATTGTACAGTAAATATTTAGTACAATTATTATTAATATGCTTATACATATTTATGTAATTTTGATTTTGTAATCAAATCAACTGAAATGAAAATTTATACCATTTGGTTCTAAGGAAAGCAAATAAAATAACACTCCCAAATCTTTACTACTTGTCAATATAATTCTAAGCAATATAACAAATATCTCATGCTTAAAGTTTCTAAGTTTCTTCATAACTGGAAGTAAAATTTCTACAAAGTAGAATATTTTAAGGCCATACCTGATTTATGTAGCTTAGTTTTGAAACTCCAGCAACTAAATGAGCTACATCTTCACCAAAATGCTTTTCTATGCTACTCAAATTTTCAAAAGTGTCATCAATCACATCATGAAGAATTCCAGCTATAACAGTGTCCACAGCCTGTACATTAACAAAGCAAAGAAAGGAAATAGGAAAAAAAGGAAATGTAGGAAATTAGTCACACGACTAGTTTTCAAGAATTTCTCATATTACATAGTTGTAAATATATGTTTTGTAAATATATGCTAAGTCTTGGAACAAGATCACGCTTAATAGATTATCGAGAGATGAACATACTCGTTTACCACTTGATGGTACCAAAGCAGCTAAAATCTTTCCTGTATGGATACAATGTGTAACATAAGGTTCCCCTGTCTTCCTTAATTGGCCAAAGTGAGCTTTTCTCGCAAACGCAATAGCCTTTTGCACCTGAAATAAAGGAGAGTGACATGTTAAAGATGAAAACAGCATATGCAAGTATAAGAGGAGGCTGTATAGTAAACCTCAGTATCATTGAAGATTGGATACCCAGTTACATCTACTCCATCAAGTATGAAAGAATCTGCAGGACAAAGATCAGTCATAAGAGAAAATGAATAAATAATAAGCATTGTTTACCATGTCCTTTAACAAATGGGATTAACTGCACTTGTGACAGAATCGATGAAGAGAAGTAATGAAAGACATCATCAAACAAGCTAGAATAAGATTATGATGTGATAAACAAAAGCAGGCAGGACATTTAACTATTGAGGCATCAAGAACCACCTTTTGAAACAAGGCTATCAACTTAGACCCATAACTGATCAAGACATATACATGCCTTGCAGCATTTGTTGAGTTTTTCTATCACCAGTATCGAAAATTATGGAGCCTCGCCTTGGAGTCTCACTACCCAGTCAATCACTAATACTATAGTTGTTACTGACATGAAGCATAAGAACTGGAATACTCTCCAGATACTGTATAAAAACAATAAACTACAAAAACTGGGGATTGCTTTACTCGAATGCTTTCTTCTTTTATACATAACCATCTACAGTGGTGATTTCAATTCAACCCATAGATATTATCTAAATCTAAATAGGAGAAACTATCGGATGGAAGAGTTGAAATAAATAACAAGCATAAAAAATAGGTCAGTTTCTTCTCTGACTTCCTAATCACTATAATCTTAGTCAATCAATGTATAGAAAAACAGTCGACATTCTACTTTAAGGAAGAAGGGTTGTTAGTCATGATGGTTGAAACAAGAGGTGAAATTTAACTGTTAGAACTGGGGGTGGCAAATGGGTTGGGTGGGTCCAACCCAACCCATTTAAATTTGACCCGACCCGACCCGTTTAACGGGTTATCCGATCTTAGCCGTTTAACAAAAATCAAATTCAAAACTACCTCCAAACCCTTGTAACTCTAACCTCAAGTATAGATCGTGCTTTCAACAAATAATAAAACACACAAATGATGAGGGCAATATTGCAATTTCATGCCTCTTATATCTCTCCTCAAAATCACTCAAAAAGTACTAATAATTTTTTAACTTTTTGTCATTTCTCTAGAGAGAGAACGTAATAATTACACACAATCCAAACAAA